CTGGATTGACGCTGTAATTTAATTCGTTTTTCTTTTAGTCTTGAGAAACTCATAATTGCCGTCTAACTAAACTATCACTCTCTCGCTCTCTCTGAGAGGAGATAACGTCAACGTAACCGGAAGTTGTGCGGCCTACCGTGACAACCCGGAAATATCGAACGTTCTGTTTATGCAACAAGCCTATTGTAAAGCAATCAATTGAACAGTACAACTGACACAAACATTGTTTAACTTTCTTAACTGTAGCTTCAATATGATCATTGAATAATAGCTCAGTATCTAGCCACAGACCCAGGTACTTAAATGCATTTACATTTACAAGAGATCTTCCATGAATCATACAGATTTGTAATTCATTCATATTAACTTTAGATGGTCTCAGTTTAAACAACATAGTGCAAGTTTTTTTCTCATTAAGAAAAAGGTTGTGCTCTCTGAGCCAATTCTGAACAGTAATAAAATCCGATTGTAGTGCATTTTGTACCTGGTCCTTCTGGTTATGCGATGTATATAAAACCGTATCATCAGCATAAAGATGAACATTACAGGATAAACAAATACTGGGCATTTCAATAATATAAAAAGAAAAAAGGAGTGGCCCCAGCATATATATAAATGTGCTAAACCCAAATGGGTAACACTATAGACTTCCCTTATAAAGTCACTTACACACAGTATAAATACATTAATTATATAGTCGCTAACACACAGTAAATACATTAAAGGGTAACTAAACACTAAACCAACTATTTTTAGTTAATGATCTGTAAGACTGGGGCTTTATTAATGCTGTTCATTGATTCGAGTAACTTTTTTGACATTTGGGTATAAAGTGTTTTAATTCTACAATATATGGTGTAAAAACGTCTGAGTGCTGCCCTCTTCAGGTTGAACGGTGGCTACTGCACTTGAATTTTCCTATTGGATGTTTGCGGTAGTTCGTGACGGTAGCGGTGAGACGTAAGCCGGTTTCAGCTTACCACGCCCTTGGTACGAGCTACCACGCCCGTGGCAGTATAAAAACCATCAAAAGTGGTTTCGTCAAAACCACTTTAGCGAGTCAGGAGTTGGAATTGCGAGTATTGAAAACGATCAGGATAGAGTATCCGTTCATCCCCTCTATCTCCGCTGGGCTCCGCCCACTTTTCCAGCATTTTTCAAATATTGCCAGTGGGTGGAGTCAGGCTCTGACCAGGGGTTTAGTTACCCTTTAAAGGCCCACTGAAGTGCCTTGGAATCAAGGGGGTAATCCATCCGCCGGGGGCCACCATTGTAGCTGGCTATCACCTACTGTTAGCATCCCATTGACTCCCATTCATTTTGGCGTCACTTTGACAGCGAATAACTTTACATCTGAGGCGTCCAAAGACTCAATTTGTCCATTATTTATTTCTCAAGAAATGGGACAATGGATAAAAGGCTCCATTACTTTGTATCTTACGTTATGGTCCCGTAGAAGCCGTTTTTGTAAAAATAGGCTAACGATTGCGTCATAACCACGGGACGCTCTGTCGCACAGTAGAGAAATTACCGTATAGACAGAAGGAGAAACTCGTAGGCAATCGTTTACTGTCTATGAGGCAATCGGGTGGACATGGAGGGATAAAGTCAAGGAAGAAGCCCATAGATGGAGAGTTCATAAAAGCAATGGGACAAAATATTTCAACAACAGATTTGTTTCAGATTTCAATTCAGATTTGTCTCGGCACAGCTACTAGAAGGTCAGAACGGTTGCTCACGTGACCTCTACGTCGTCAAGCTCAGTTTTGAGCCTGCGCAGTGCGCTTGGCTATCAGGAAGTGAGTGCTTTATGGGCTTCAACTTTCTCCGTTGAAATCTATGGGGTCGCTGTGTCCATTTCTTTTATTGTCTATGCTTGGAATGCGCAGCTTTGTATGATGCGTTGACGTAATTTCCACTGAAACAGGAAGCTAAGGCGAGACATATTGAATGGCTCCTCCCCCTTTTCAAATAGCCAATAGCATTTTGTTTACCTCACAGACTGCAAGTAGTACTTGACAGCAACATGGAAGCGAATCCGAGCGCTGGTGATACATTGGATTCAATAGTAGAGGAGTGAATAAATTCTAGCCATTTCATTCTTAACCAACGTACAGTTAAAACGGAATAAAACTCGTCTCGAGCATTTGAGCAACCGAACACACATCTCCAACCCATATTTCTCTGTGACGTGTCAACGGTCGCTTTGGGCAGGTGGTATTTATATCATAGGGGGCGGGACTTCAGATTCTAGAGAGCATTTAATTGGACAGAATTTGTGATGAGAAGCTGAAGTCTGCGGTGATGTCAAAATAATCCGTGATCCATTTTAGCGGAAGTGAGAGACTAAGTTTTAAATGCTTATATCTCCTAAATGCGAATTTTGTCAATGTTTTGGAACACACCAGCTTATTCATTGCTTATAAGCTAACATATTCATACTAAAAGCTAAAAAACTAAAATGTTGATTTCAGGGGACCTTTAGTGATCTGTTAAGCATTATTTATTAATAACAGTGTTACCAAGACATGCCTGCTAATCAGTGAGGAAATATAGTTTTAAACAAAACTGCACAAGTCAAGTAAAGAGCTGTGGGCCTTACGTGCTAATTTCATGCTTTTGTCAACTCTTAGCATAGCAATAAAACATAGTTTTCAGACAAGAATAGCATAGTCTTGTGAAGACAAAGACGAGGTGAAACATAGGGCAGTCTTTTGGAAGAACTTTCTGCTATCATATCTGAGGCTACGTCTCTATTTCTCTCTCTCTCTCTCTCTTCTCCTAGCGCGAGCGCCGCCGCATTATGTCCTACCTTTCTTGATGATTGTCTGAAAGACTATAATTAATCGGAGCAGAAGTGTGGCTGTTGACCTTTTCGCAGGTGATCGTCAGCGTGGCTATGTTCGTTAATCGCCGAGCGATCACTCTCTTGACGACGGCAATTACAGATGAGTTGCCAGCGCAAGCCACGGGGGGACAGCCAACGCGGCATGATTTATCCTCACATACGTTTTTCCACTTTCTCTCTCTCTCACATACACACACACACACACATATCTTCTTACTACACACAAATCAATCTCATGCTGGCCCTCTGCTGCACATTTTACCTGCGTATTAGCTGCCATTTGTCTGACATTAGAATAATAGTAGGCTGTACCAGGCTTTAGTGATCATCGCCAGAGAACACACAGGTATCATTATTCCCCGCCTCCATCAGCCTTGTCACTTTGTGCTAGATAGCGACAATGCCATAGAACATCCTGTTTAGAGCTGTGCCTATAACAATGTAATAAACTATAATAGTGTTAAGAAAAATTTGATAAAGAAAAATGTGTATGATTCGAAAATGTATATAATTAAAGTACTAATTAGGGTTATTATAGCTCATGTAATGAGAGCAGGGACCATTACAAAAGAATCGGACATGAATAAGTGATCCAATAAAATCCCCTTTTCTGTACATTCGATAAGCAGATTTACTATAAATACATAAAACACTGCCAAACATTACATTACTGGTACACAATTTGACATGTATTGTTAAAAATGAACAATTATTATGTCATAATTTACTCACTCTCATGCCATTTTAAACTTTCTTCTGAAGAACACAAATAAGATTTGCATTTCTAATTTTTTTATAAATGTTCTCTGAGGTCCACTTATAATGTTAGCTAAATTTTAAACATAAAAAAACCATCATAATTTAGAATATGATATTTTCTATTCAGTTTTGACCCTCTCATTGAAATTCTTTTGACATACATGCCACACTCAAGACTTGGAAGTAAACACCCACTGTTATGATTGAGTAACAGTGTTGCGTATTAAAATAAATTTCAACGTCCCTGCCATTACACATGTGGAATTGGTTTGAAAAGTTCTTCTGATGTTGAAAAATGGCAACTGGTGAAATTCAGCTATACATAATGTTTAAGTACTTGGAGTTACCACAGTTTGGCCTATAGTTAGAAGTTTTGGAAGCTTGGTTTTAATAAAAGATGTTTTTGGATTAACAAGAAAGTTTTGTGTTCTGATACTTGCAAGATATTTTTTTATAGTACAATCAATGACCTCTTATAAGTTATTTGGCTCAAAAACAACATTGCAACACATTGACTTTGTATAGACTAACAAATATATTACAGAAGAAATAAATTCATACAGGTTTAGAGCATGAGACTGAGTTGGCAAATTATGACAGAATTCATTTTTAGGTGGACTATCCCTTTAACAACTAAATTAACATGTAAATATAAAGAAATAGTGTTTATTTTTGATCACATGATGCTTTCCTAAGCTGGATTTTCCAAATGGTCTAAAAATACACCATTCAAGTAACATTAAATTCTCTTGTATTACATAATGAAGTCTAAATGTAGTAGCAAAATTTACACCCAAATTAGTGTAAAAGAATAGTGTAATGCACACTTAACAACACATTTACACAGACACATAAAGGAAAACAAAACAAAACAATGGTTCCACATGTTCAGGGCCTGGCTAATTGAAATGTTTGTATTGCTCCACAATCTCGCTCTCGCTCTCTTTCTCTCCTTGCACAGGCATAATTATTTGCAATTTGCCTAAGACATCCATTTGCTGGGATGCCAAGCATGAAAAAGAGGCAATTTCTGAAAAATGGAAATGCCTGGTGGAACTGGCGGAGGGGAAATAATGCAGTGCCATCCGCAAGCTGATGTCTGCCATCTGATAAGCGTTACAGGCGCAGGAATATTAATGCCACATCACCGGGACACAAGGTGCACACTTTTATTAAGGGGATGCTAGTAAAGTGAGAGATATGATATTTATTTTGTAATAGCTGTAAGAATAGCTGGTTTGGAGAGATGTACAGAATATCTTCATTTGCTCAGAATCAAGTGTTAGAAAAGGAGGTTTGGACCGAAAGATCGGTTTTGGATTGTACGGGTGTCATGTTTAAAATGACGGTGGATATCTGAAGAACTGACAGTTCAACAAAAGGGTCAACCTACCAGTCAGCGCACATCACCACGTCAAAGCGACCCTCCAGAGCGGACACATCGGCCTCATTGTCCCATCTCACCACCCTGAAAGAGGACAGAACCAGGGATGATAGCTGCGTCATAAAGCCTGTTGCACAATTTATCATTCATCCAAGACCCCCATAATAATGATGCGTCCAGAGACATTTCACACACCTGACACTCGTTTTATTTGCGCCGTTGTCTGGCGGCAATCGTCTTCTCTCTTTTCTTTAAGTGCTAGGGCCGGTTTCCAGGCAAGCAAATCTGATTATTAATTAGCCATTATTAACAGTCAGTAAACAAAAATTACGTCTTGTGGAAATACAATCTCCTCTCTCAGCGGGGGTCCGCACCGCTTATTCACTGACTTGAGAAAGCGAATCCACCCCCCCTCCCTCCCTCAACCAATCACACGCGACCTTCACCCCACTCAAACCGCGCGCTCTGACAGGAAGCCTAATCTCTAAAGAAAACAATCAAAGTAATGCAGGCTAATTATACGTTTACTCTTTCACTTCATCAGCCCAGTGTAAATACACAGGGAGGGGGAAGTGTGCAGAGCAAGAGAGAAGAGAGGAGACGAGAGGGGGAGAGAGTGGTTAGATCACTGAGTGCCAAAATTACTTTTTAGGTGATAATGCATTTGCGTGATGGTGTGCACAGTGGATGAGCTGTGTTTTGGCAAATGTGAGAGAGGGGTGTTAGAGAGAGTGTGTGTGTGTGTGTGTGTGTGTTTGAGTTTTCTAGATGAGGGCATTCAATCACGGAGAGTGGCTCATCATCGCTCTGCCTGGATACATCTTAGCGCGTTAGAGAGCGTAGCGCTCGCTCCGCGGGCTGTGGATACCTCGTTACCAGGCCAACTGGGTTCAGGAAGTGACACGGAGCCTTGCGACCTCATTTTTGCCTACTTATTGACACTATTATGTCCCGAACACAAGTGCCGTAAATGCCTCTTTACCCAAAAACACTTTCCTATACTTCATGGCATGCTCAACTCCGCAAAGAATTCACATTCACATTGAATAATGACACTTGAATTTGTATTGACATAAGAGATGGACTTCATATGCAGTAATGTAAAAGCAATATTAGTGCTCTGTCTTTCATTGTCAGAGATATTGGGAGGTGTATGAGAGGTCTTACCTGCTGGACACATTGGTAGACAGGAAGAGCCCTTCTCGTCTGTTCCTCTCGATCACACTGCGCACATCTGGTGCTCTATGTCAAGAAATGCAACGCTATTTCATTATTAATAAAAGCATGAAAATCAAACATCAACTTCATGAAGACAGATATATATCTACTACCACCAGTCAAAGGTTTGAACACACCTACTCGTTTCCCATAATAGTGGAGGCCTCAAAAGTATGAAATTACACAAATTCTAAACTGGATAGTTTCAGTCATGGATGCTTATTGGTCAAAACTGCTATGCACACTGTCAATCAACAATCTGTCACAATCAACTTGAGGTGCACCCTGGGAGGATTTATAAACGGTACTGAAGGACACTTGCTGGACACTTGATGGCTGCTTTCCTTCACTATTCAATTCAATCAAACAAACAAACAAACAAACAAACAAACAAAAAACCTTCTAATAATACTTTAATATTATTATTCATATTATTTATTCATATTATTATTAAAAACAATGTATCAATTATCATCAAAATAAATAAGTAAACAAGTAAATAAATAAATACATAAATAGATGGGATTTTAAACTTTACTTACTTTTCACTTTACTTAAAGCCTTTATGTATAATGCATTATATAAGCATTTTGAATGCATTAATTACGCCTTGTAATGAACATAATTAATGCATTGTATGATCTCATGAATAATCATAACGACCGTTACAATATATTATAATACATTGTTACACCTTTATAATGAACCAAACAACCAATCAAACAACCAATGTCAGATGTAATGTGTGAATATTATAATGCATTTAACTTTGGTTACAATTATTTATGAAATTATACAATGCATTACAATGTACATTATGAATACCATTATAATGCATTGTACATAAATTGTAAAGCAAAACTTTTGCCTTTCCCCCAAAAAACGTTGTGTTTGCTTTCAAAAGTTTTGATTAAATAATATGAGGTGGGAGGCAAAGGTATATTTCATTGCTTTAGCAAGTGTTTCAAACTTTTGCAAAGTTTCTCGGGGAACGCAAAAAGAATTGAATATAAATTTGTCTGTGACAAAAAAAAAAACACAGTCAGAATAGATAGATAGATAGATAGACAGACAGATGAGACACTGTGGAACAATAGCAAGATCATTTCCTTTATCCCTCTGACTTCAAGCCTATTACATGAGCTGATTTCTTGTTTAATGTTACTCTATTATGTCAGGTTCTCTTATATGACATTCAACCCACACAGTCCGTTTGCTTCCTTTTCTCTCCGCACCTCATCCTCAGATTACCACTGAGCTCAAAACCAACTCATGCAAAGCATCATCATAGGTAATCAATAGGGAGGCTTTTAACCTGCGGCCATCTCTTCGGATGGGCCTCCACCCATTGTGGTTATACTCCGGGATTGATGTCAGTGCATCTATGAATAGACCTTTCGACAGTTTTAAACTAATTCAATTACGATTTCTCGCTTTTTCTGCCCCGCTTTCCCTCTCGCTCCATGGAAAACAACCGTAGCAAATCCAATCTATAGCGCAGGGATGGAGGGCAAATCCCTTGATGAAAGAGGGGAGGAGGCTGGGTGCGCGCATTACACTGGTGCGATCTGCTGCTAAGGAGAGAGAGAGTGGAAAGCTTACAGTGTAATCCCATCAGGAAAAGACCACTGGGGGAGAGGTCAGCGCTGAACCGAGACACAATATGATCAAAACTGCACTTCCTGTGTAACACCTGTGCATATATTGTCTTCCAAAGTTTCATGACTGCTGCTTTATAGAGTTTGTAAAGCTCAAGAAAGCAGCAGCCATTAAAGAATGTGAGAAGTGAAATTTAGCAGCTAACAGTAGGGTCTCTTGATTATACATGCACAACTTTAATCTGAGCTCAGCCAGTCTTTTGAGAACACAGACTGAGATCAAAACTGAGTCATGAAACCACTCAGCACTTTGTGGTACACTTTAGTCACTCCCAATTGGGCTCATTGGGCTCATTTCTTGATTAAGTATGCAGAGAGAGAGAGAGAGAAAGATAAAGAGAGGGGTCCATGTGTTCTTGTAGTAACGTCTAATTGAGTCATATTTAGTAGAGGAAGCAAAAAAAAAAAAAAAAAAAAAAAAAAAAAACCCATTTACATATCGTATTTGGAGTAAAATCCAATTGTCAGCGTTTATGTACACATATACCAAATAACAGGCGTCTTAACACTAGCCAGGGGTGCGTTTCCCGAAAGCATCGTTAGCCAACTATGGTCGCAAGTTCCGTCGTTACCAATAGAGTTCAATGGAAACTGCGATCATAGTTGGATAACGATCCTTTCGGGAAACGCACCCCAGGTTCAGTTCTCCAGTTGAGAATTTTGAACTATATACACTATACTAGTTATTGATGCCGTTACTGCATCATAATAATTATATATAATTATTACATATAAATAAATGTCTTTTTTAGGTGGACAGGCACAATGAAATATATCATTTAATTGTCGACCTTAAAAAAAAAATATATATATTTATTTATTATATAAAGTATATAAAGTATAGGTCCCACTTTAGATTAGGATCTAATTCTCACCATTAACTAACTATTAACTATGTTTTTTTGCCTCGGTGAACTCTAATTACTGCTTTTTAAATAGTTATTAAGGAAGTTGTTAAAGCTGCAGTCGGCAAGTCTGGCAGATTGAGTGGATTTAGGAAAATTTTGAATGTTTACAACTCTCATGCCCCTCCCCCACAATCAACGGATACCCTCCCACCGAGTTCATGCTCGTCAGTGCGTGTGCACCAGATTTTCAGTGAACGGAACGCGCCCGTCTCATCAGCATCCATCAACACCATGGAGTATTTGGAGGTATGCTGTCCTGGCTAATCTACCGATTGATTGCAATTGCTAACGTCATTTATACTCTAAATGAGCTTACTTGATTTTCCGCCATCACTCTTCGTTACTGCGCGATCTTCCGCGAACTTCAGGCGTGTGCATGTGATTGTAACGTGCGCGAGGGGTGGCGTGTGCCCGATCTGTGATTTACAGTCAGATCTCACACCCCCCTGCGCTGATTGGACATGATGAACCGGGAGCTGTGGATTTTTGCAAAACAAATAACACGCTCCAGGTGGAGTTAGAAGCTCGGGTTTTTTCTAAAACCACTTTATTTATGTTGTTCTTTCAGATTATAGTGTCGATTTCACTGAAAATTATCAAAAAAATGTTGCCGACGGCAGCTTTAAGTTTAGGTATAGTGTGATTAAAGGGTTAGTTCACCCAAAAATGAAAATTCTGTCAGTAATTACTCACCCTCATGTTGTTCCAACCCCGTAAGACTTTCGTTCATCTTCGGAACACAAATTAAGATATTTTTGATTAAATCTGAGAGCTGTCTCACTCCTCCATAGGCTTCTATTGTAATTGAAACGTCAAAACGTAGGTTCACCATTGGCCAGCATCACACTCATGACCAGCGTCGGCCAATAGTGAGCCTACGTTCTGACGTAGCGCTGCGCTGTTACACTACGTAAACTCACTCAGAGGCCCCCACAGAATAAAATGAATAGTTGAATAAAGTCATTATTTTTGTTTGTTTTTTGAGCTCAAAAATTATTCTCGTCGCTTAATAAACTTAAGGTTGAGCCATTGTATTTTAACGATGTTTTTACTAACTTTTCTGGGCCGGCAGGTTTCAATTACAATAGAAGTGAAATGAAAATTTTAATTTTTGGGTGAACTAACCCTTTAAGGGATGTAGAATATGGAAATGCAGAATAAGGCATTAATATGTGATTTATAAGTACTAATAAACAGCCAATATCCTAATAATATGCAAGCTAATAAGCATATAGTTACTAGTGAGAATTGAACCCTAAACTAAAGTGTTACCAAAGTATATATAAAATAAAAACTTTAAATTGTATAATATATACAGTAACAGTACAAGAAAAAAACACGTATTAAAAAAACAAGTTATGTACTGTATATGCACAACTGTACATTGACAGTTTGGAACAATCCTTTGATCTATGATCCATGCTAATTTGATTTCACACACTAAATGGTTTTAATAATTCTGTCATACCTTCTTTTTCTTCCCTCTAATACAAAGAAAGAAAACACTATGTATACAGTTCTCACAAGACAGCTTGTCCTTTCCTGGCCTTGTCCGATCATCAGATCATCTCTTCAGCGTTCTATTATGGCAGACACATCTCTGAAACAAAGCACTGCCAATTAATGCTCTATCAGCCTACTGCCAGTCTGTTCACACTCTATTACAGGAAGCAGTTTAGAGACAGACTCTGAATGTTTTGAGTATGTCTTGCTCTGCTCCCTTTCCCTCCATTTTCTTTTAAACAAATCTCTTCTCAATGAGGAATTGTGTTAATTTCATGCCACGGCCATTGTTCTTTGAGTCTTGATATTCAATAAAAGCTCATTGTAGTGGCAGCGCTGGCTGTTGTACTAACGAACGTGGGCACGGTAATTTTGCAGCGTTTTGCTGTCACGTCTGTCATCTCCGTTTTTCCTGCCTTTGTGAGCCAAGCGACGTGGCTAATCTGAGTGACTGCGGTGGAAAGACGAGATGGAGAGCGGGAATAAGAAAAAGCAAAGAAAGGGAATGAAGAAAGAAGGTTCGAGCTATACCCTGACACCTGTTTAAGCTTCATCTGTGCTCCTGGCAAAAGGGAAAGTCAATAGAGGAATGGAAGAAGGGGGGGGAGAGGGCGAGAGACAAGGAGCAGGTGAGTCAACACACACAGCGGTAGCCTTCAATGACATGAATATGTATTAAACATGCTAAATGCAGGTTTCGGGTGTCAGCTAGATGATTTGCCTCACATTCAGATATGTCGTGTGTGTGTGTGTGTGCGTGCGCGCATATGCGGGTATTCTTTGACAGAGTGCACGTTAAGAATGGCTGACTCTGTTCCAAAACCTAGTGAGTTGCCTCTGTCTGTATGGAGCATTTTAATAAGGTGACGATTTACAATGTGAAGGTTTTTTCATAATTATGCTGCCTTCTAAGTTACCTCATTTTGGACTAATTTATCACAGAATCTTAATGAAAATAATTGTATTAAGATGGTGGACGAACAAGAGAAATGCTAATGATAATACTGCTGAAAATCAAACCTATTTAAACCAGCATAAACTGGTTTGGTTTGCTGGTTTAGGCTGATTATGTTCTTGCCTAATTAAAAAGTGCCCAAAAACCCTTTAAAAAAAAACAGTCAACATACCAGACTGACCAGCAAACCATCTTAGGCTGGTTTAAGATGTTACATTTTCCTGCTTTTCTTCAGCGGGGAAATTCAGTACAGAACCATTCAAAAGTTTGGGGTCGGTACGATTTTTTAATGTTTTTGAAAGAAGGCTCTTATTGTCAATTTGGATTATATTATTTCAATTTAAAATAGCAGTTTTCTATTTGAATACATTTTAAAATGTATTTTATTCCTGTGATGGAAAAGCTGAATTTTCATCTGTCATAACTCCATTGTCACATGATCCCTCAGAAACTCTATGCTGATTTGCTGCTCAAGAAACATTTATTATTATTATCAATGTTTAAAACAGTTGTGCTGCTCTATTTTTGTATTTATATTTTTGTGGAATTTTTGATACATTTTTGTCAGGATTCTTTAATAAATAGAAAGTTCAAAAGAGCAGCATATATTTGAGATCAATTGAATGCATCCTTGCGGAATACAATTTCTTCTCTTTAAAAACACTTTAGTTTTCGATCCAATTCTCTTTAACTAACTATTAACTCCTAATTACTGCTTATTTATAGTTAGTAAGGTAGTAGTTAAGTTTAGGTATACAGGGGTGTAGAATATGATCATGCAGAATGAGGCATTAAAATATGCTTTATAATTATAAGTACTAATAAACAGCCAATATCCTAATAATATGCATGCTAATAAGCAACTTTAATCACGAGAACTGGACCCAAAACTAAATTATTACAAAAAAACAAAAAAAAAACTTACCGAGCCCAGTCCGTTGACCGATATTGTATTAAACAATATTTGTGCATTCAGTATGTATTTATTCTCATTAAAAAAGTGTCTTTCTTCTCATGTTGCCTGTAATTGTTTCTTGTGCACTTAAATCCTGCCTAAGTAGATTTGCACATGTTTCAAATCAGTCAATTATAAGGTTCCATTTCAGTTCAGGCACTGCCTTAGAAAGCAGCTGCCTATGTAGGGAGCGGGCAGCTCACTAGGTTTTTGGCACAGAGCCACATACCAGTCTGAAATGCAAGGATACTTTGAATTGCCTTCTCGTTGCCATCAGATAGCAGAACTTCCTTCACATCAGCACAAACCGCAATCTGCCGGAAAAGAGAAGAAAAAAAAAAAAGATGAAAAATAAACAAATAAATAAATAAAACAAAAGCAAGACATCCTCAGCACACTGTTCGCAAGCAGTCATATCTGAAGAGCGCTGATTTTTAAAGCCCTACTCCAAAACGACCATCCGTCTCTCTTTCTCCCCTGCTCCCTCTCATCCATCTCTGTCTGTCTCTGCCGTTTTTTCATTTTATGTCTGCATTATTTTAATCATTCAATCAAATCAGTCAATACTTTTATCATTCCCGGTGGCTGGGAGCCCTCTATCTTGCTATCACTCTGTTGGGTAATTGCATTGTGACAGGGGATGATGGTGAGCGCCGAGCCTTTCATTTGCAGGGTGGCGTTTATCATGCGGGGCCATCGCGCTCTGCTGTCACTCCTTACTCGGCTCGCGAGGCCTGCCTGATGCCCTTCATATAACTTTGTACTGCGAAGCTTCTGCCTTTGTGCTGCTCCACTGTCAGCTCTTTCTGTCCTCTTTTTATATAGTCTTTTCATTCAAGTAGTCATCTTTATCAGAGGTGCCGTGTAACAGTTGTTTGGAGAGGTGCAGTGGGCAGAAGCAGGGAGTGTGTGTGTGTGTGTGTGTGTAAAAGTGCTTGCAAGGATTTATATTTCTGATTTTGGATTTCTTTCCTTAAACACAGGAAGCAAAATAACTTTGTCACACCTGCCAATGCTGAGTGAATTTTAAAAATGTAATTTTTAAAAAATATATATTTTTTACCAGCCATGAAACTGAATTTTGCATTATTCTTTAATAAATATTATTTTCTTATTTTTTAAAAATCATTATCATTGTTATCATTTGCAGATTATTTCGCAAATAGTTAAGAGATGGGTTTAGGAATGGATATAGTGTACACTTCCGTCCAAAAGTATTTTAAAGTCCTCCTGTAGTCAATCATTTTATCCCTTAAAACTCATCTTTGATCACCAAAATTACATATTTAATTGTATTTTTTCCTTTTTCTTCAAAAAATTTCTTCATGCCTTAAAATAGCTTGAATGTAACTCTACACCCTTGCCTCATTTAGGATACGTAGTTCTATGAATATGCTAATTAGCCCCGCCTCCACTCACTCACACCAGATCAGAGATCCACTCGTTGACGATCACACGTTGACCTGATTGGTTACAAGGTATTTTGTGATGTCAGAAACACCAGCATGTTCAAACCATGTTTTTGAGACTTTCTTTGGTTCACTGAAGTTTTAAGGAGAGAATATTCAGTATTGGTGTTGACTAATGAATTTGCACATGGTTTGTCTTAAAGCATATTAAAAACACAACATAGACATATAAACAATATTAAAACCTTGATTTTCACCACAGGGGGACTTTAAAATAAACTTTTATTCAGGGTGCATTAATTGATCAAAAGTAAAGACAATTATAATGTTACAAAAGACTATTTTAAATAAGTTATGTTCTTTTGAACATCCTGAAAAAAAAAGAATTTTTTTTTCAACATTGATAATAATAAGAAATGTTTCTTGAGCACCAAATCAGCATATTAGAATGATTTCTTAAAGATTATGTGACACTGAAGACTAGAGCGATGATGCTGAAAATTCAGCCATCACAGTAATAAATTACATTTTAAAACATATTAAAATAGAAAACATTTATTTTAAATTGTACTAATATTTATTTTTATCAAATAAATGCAACTTGGGTGAGACCATAAGAAACATTAAACATTTTGTATATATTTGTTTTGATGGCATAATGTGACGAATATACCATGTGTTGTCACAGAGAACTAGCCTGGCAAGCCAGACCTACATCAAGATGTTAGGTCTGGGAACTCACAATTGGCATACCTCAATCCGAGGGCCGGGATAAACGGTTGTCTTTCAATATCCCTCGCCACGCAATAGGACAGCGCTACAACCAACCAGAGCAACGAACGGCTGTGGCTGAGTGAGTCCCATGCGTTTTCCACCAGTGAACCAGCTAGTTGGTATATTCAACTTTTGCCGTATCCGGTCGTCAAAACTCTGAAGACATCTTCCTTTTTTAGGAATGACTTAAGTGACGTTCTCTTAACTCCAAGTCATCCAGAGTCGCGGGCAAAGCCGATTCGAAAGACCGCTGTTCGCCAGCAGCATCTTCTTTGTTTTCAAGCAGAGGGAAATCACCTATGGAAATCACGCGGAACCGTCATAACTCTACCGTCATTATGTTAAGCCCGCCCACCAACTCAACACGATCTGATTGGCCGGACCAGTTTTTGGTTTTTCCAGCTCAAAAGTCTATGGAGAGTTGCTAGACCACACTTTGCTGCAAAATAATTTTTGCTGCCGCTAGGGTGCGTCTAGATTTCTAGGCTAACAGAGAACAGCTTCCTGGACAAAAAGTCGTTTTGAAGATGCACAATTCGCAAAATCATTAGCAGACTGTTTAAATGTCTTTATATGAGCTGCTCATGTTAACATTAACACAAAGGGACTGACAAAATGAGACCATGCAAGATAAATATCTCTCCAGAGTGATGCTGTGTTTTTTGCCCTGTGGGGAAGAGTCAGGTCACGGGGCCCACACCACCAGCTAGCCATATGGGCATCAAGACCTGCAGGAAACCAACCAGTCACCCAAGAAAAACACGGGCGGTACTGCCAAAACCACAGCACTCCAGGGCACAGGACAAAGAAGAGGAGCCATTTTTCCTTGTCGAGGACTTAGATAAACACAGGCACTATGTCAGACCTGAGAAAAGGTGGAATGCGAGCTAAAAAAAAAGAGATGAGAGATTGAGTGGGGGGGGTGGGGGGCGAGGAAGGCGATCCACTGGTGGTCCGTAATGTCACAACACGGGGGTATTGAGTGGAGAGATACGGGAAGGCTGGTCTTGTGAAGGTGAAATCGATAACATGTTAAGCCTGTCCATCTGGAGAGGTTACTACAAACTACTATACACTACACATAGCTAGAGTCTAAGCCACTGGTGTGTGTGTGTGTGTGTGTGTGTGTGTGTGTGTGTGTGTGTGTGTGTGTGTGTGTGTGTGTGTGTGTGTGTGTGTGTGTGTGTGTGTGTGTGTGTGTGTGTGACTAAGAAAGAAAGTGCTTGCATATGCAAACCCGTGTGTTTGAACGCTTTTGATGACGTTAGCCCATTGGGCCACGTGTGTTTATGGTCACTGAGGTAGAAATGTCAATGTGCAACGGCCGATTTCATGTTGCTTACAATATGCCATGTTAGATTACCCATGCTGATGCAAATTGCCCATTTGCCTGTGATCGTCTGTCTGTGTGAGAGTACCGTGTCATTTTTGCGTTCACTTTTGACTTACCATGAGCCCGGCAAGACACGTCATCCCTCCTCCCAGCTCACACACCGAGGAACCCCTGTGAGACAGAGAGACAGAAGGGGGCTTGATGCGCTGTTTAGCGTAAAATTTGAAGTACATGAGTACAAGAGTGAAGTTTTTCAGTTTAAATGAGAGGAAAACAGGAGGATGAGAGAGATAAGGAGAGACGCAGAGAGGGAGATGGCTGTTGTGTCTTGACAATAACGCTAATTAACTTGCCCGTGTAGGGGGATGCCATTGATTGGAATGCAATTCCACTGGGCTCATTGATCTTAACCTTCCTCTCCCTTCTTCTCTCTGCATGTGAGCGGGTGTATATGTGTTGACAAAAGAAAGCGCAATTGTCCTTTTTTCCTGCTGGAAATGTGGATTTGCGGTACAGAACTGGAAGTTAATTAAACGTACGGGATCAGTTTTCTGCTTCGATTCTGTACAGTACAGTGATGTATCAGATGGTAATACTGTTGTATTTTTATATATGTATAATGGTACTGAATTAGGGGTGTTGCAATATACCAGTATTTATGATAATCGTGATATTTAAAAATAAAAGTAGAGATATTGATATGTTAATTTGACATGATAATCCTAAATAATCCCGCACCAGTAACTGACTCTCCAACATGCAATGCCTCCTAGGTGGAGGCATTGCACCTTAATGCTGGTTGCCACCCATCGTAAAACACAAAAAAGAAGACCTAGGCTGCGTCCGAAATCACATACTTCCTGTGTAGGTACTTATTTTAAATAAGTAATTACTCTGCGACCGTGTGATGTAAAAGGTATGAATGTATTCCAGAATGTAATGTTATCATGCTATTCACAAACCCTCTCCCACGGCCTCATGGGATGGTTAAGTATACATCATACGCACACTTCAGAATCTCACCACGAATAGTAGGTCATCCGTGTAGTTTTTGCTTACTCCTTTATGAGAACTGTGAATATGGACATACTTCTTTTGTCACAAACTGTTTTTTAACTTGCCGCACAAAACACACTGAATTCAGCATAAATGCTTAACCTTGTTGCAAGTGAACGTACTTGCAACCATAGTTGTGTCCCAAATGACGCACTACACACTATGTACTCAACGATGTAGTGTATGAATTTTATGAGGTTATTCTGTCAGTAAGCTGCGACATAATATTTAACAATTGGAATGTATAGGGATAGAGGAAGTCTTAGGATCACATATAGGAGGTGATATAAATAAAGAATTATTGAAACGAAAAGCATTTTGGATTTATAATTTGAAATCACTGGCTCTTAACGGCATAAATGAGGAATTCGATTTGTATGTTTTCCTAAAATGTGATGTAGAGATATTTGGAGATTTTTTACAAATGTAATGTTTAAATATGTTTAAATTAAATATTCTAACTGTGAAGATCGGTGTTGATTAATGACGATGTATTTCTAATGACTTCAATCATTAGGTCTTTTACTGTTGTGCAATTGATGTGGTTACCTGGATTGATATATAAGGATTTTTAATTTCTCTAAATGGTTAAAGGGAAAGAAAGGTGGAAACAGTTTTTTTTTTTGACTGTGGGATACTCTGTTATTGTCTTTAATGTAAAATTATGTCTTGTGTTTCATGAAAATTATGCGTCGGATGCGTTTAACAGGATCATATTTTATGTGGATAAGTGCTGTTGAACACACATTAATTGAGTGAGTGATTTTTAACATTGGCCAATTTTGATGACGTCAATCTAATTAATTGTTTAAATAGTGGCGGAGGGATTTAGATTATTCAACATACTGAGGAAGGCCTGTGAGCCGAAACATCTGTTGTATTATTCGCGTGAAATAAAGTGACTAAAAGGATTTCGGATTCTGAGTGCGGATCATAGCTGTTTCTTGAAGTTATTCTGTCATTTAACATCGGAATCTGATAGCCCCTCCCCTTCTGCTGCGACAGTTGAGTGCATGAAGTGTCCAACATTCCACACTTCGTTTTTTCGGTTAATTAAGTGTATCATTCGGGTATGTGAAGTGCACTTTTTCATTTTGGAATTTTCAGTGTGAACACACTACTCACACTCAGGGCTGTTGCTAGGGACGGAAGGTGGTGACGAATCTAGGGCCCTTCGGCCTTCCTTAGGGGGAACCCCGCGATTTCAACCAAGGGGGACAAGGAACACGATTTCAAGCACCGGGGCTCTGGATACCCCAGCTACGGCTCTGCTCACAGTACTTATACTACAAAATGCCACAAATTGGGACACACGTTAGCATCTGGCTAAATTGCGTAGCATCTACAGCAGAATTTGACCGGAAAAATGTAATTCAAACCACATGTCAACAACTATATAGATATTGGAAGCATTTTCCCCACTCTTTAAAAAGTTTATAAGCCTAATTGGCTTATAATAATATTTATAGCCTAGATAGCCTAATTGGCTATCTATGCATAATTCTTTTATTATTTGCACTTAGAATTGCTTTTTTTTTTTCTCAGAACAAACTAAAGTTGTTTTATAAAGTCACAATTTTCTTTTTTATTCAGTGGCGGAATTTTTTTTTTTTGAGTCACACCACAACAGTAAACACATACAGAAACCTACAGCAGCCGAATGGAATAATTCATATGAAAGGTAATTCATATAATTCCCACAGGAATGGAGAATTTACACAAAGACTATAATTTGCATAGAGTTCATTTGTGTTTGTCATACGCAAAATATACAGTAGAGAGTCCTTGTAGATCAAAAGCAGTCCACAGCCGCACACACACACCGGCAGCTTGACTTCATCACTTTGCCAGTCTTTTCTGCGCTCTGTGACAACAGTCTCCATGTGTTTGTCTGCTCTCAGCCCGTGATCCGACACCTTCCATTGACAGAGAGACAGAGTGGAGGATGAAGAGAGAGCGATTGTTGTATGAGGGAGTGCAATTAAAAATTAATGCGCACAAAACTGCTAGTATGAGTCGCGACGGGGACAAAGCCCTAGTGACAGGTAGCTATTTGGCTGTACATTGGACTAGTGGAAAGAAAGGCGAAAAACCAAAGGGATGAAGAGAAGAGATGGGCGCTCTCTGTAAATTGACTTTTTTTTGTTCTGCTTTATCCTCCTCTTTTTCTCTTTTTGGTGAGTGCCTGATAACAGGTCTGGAAGATAGCGAGAGGGTGACAGTCCTTGATGACATACAGGAACAAGAGCGCACATCGACACACACACGTGCACAAACACACTACACACACTCATGCAAATGAACTTCAGCTTTTCATTTAGAGGTCTGAATATGCGCAAAAGCGATACACGGACCAAATCACAACAGAACACGTGTCTTAACATCCTCCGTACACACACACACACACACACACACACACATTCACACACACTCCTGCAGAAGCATCGGCCCAAGGGCGTAAAACCCTGTATATGCCCAGTTGACCTTCAGCTTGCCGCTGTGTGATCGATAAGCCTCTCTTCCCTCCTCTGCCTCTTGAATGTAAAAACAGGAAATCAAAGGCTTGTGTCCTGCCTTGAGTGCAAATCAAAAAGTGCCCCTTGCCTTTCTGTCATTTGGCCAAAGTGTGTGTGTGTGTGTGTGTGTGTGTGTGTGTGTGCGTGTGTGTGTGAGAGAGAGAGAGAGAGAGAGAGAGAGAGAGAGAGAGAGAGAGAGAGAGAGAGAGAGAGAGAGAGAGAGAGAGAGAGAGAGAGAGAGAGAGAGAGAGAGAGAGAGAGAATGTTATTGTACCTTACATTGCACACATTCTGTACGCAGCCTAGCTGCAATTGCTTTGGCAATGCAAATGTACAGTTTTTGTCATGCCAATAAAGCACACTTAAATTATAATTCAGAGTGAGAGAGAGAGAGAGAGAGAGAGAGAGAGAGAGAGAGAGAGAGAGAGGGGGGTGGGGTCCTCACGTAAACATGTGACGTTTCTTCAGGCAGTAGTAGGCCATCACCTCTTCAGAAGGCCAGACACCTGAAACAGAAAGAGAGAGAGGTTAGAAGCAGCATACTCACTGGTATGCCGTAACGGCAAGTCTGTTGAAAGTACTGGGAAATATTCTTGCATACACATACTTGTGTACTCCCTGTCCCTGTGCAAAAAGATTGCCCTGTCAATCTAACCAGACAAGTTTTCACATTAGATTTAGTGCACATTACAGCATAACTGGCCATAATCAGGCCATTCAGATATGAGTGGGCCATTTGACTGAGATCTTTAAACCACCAATAACAACTATTTTTTTACTTGGCATTTAGAGACGGGCAATACATTTGCATTGAAAGTGAGTAAAAACAGTATTATTGTGAAATATTTGTATAATTGAAAAGAACAGTTCCCTATTTTAATATATTTTAAAATGTAAGTAATGATGGAAAAGTTGAATTTTCAGCAGTCATTACTCCAGTCTTCAGTGTCACACGATCCTTCAGAAATTGTATGCTCTATAATAACATTTCTTATGTTGAAAACAGTTATGCTGCTTAATATGCTTTGTGTGAATTGTGGCTTTTTTCAGGATTCTTTGATGAATAGAATGTTTAATTAATCTTTGCTGTAAAAAGTATGAATTTCTTTCAAATAAATATCTTATTGATCTTACTGAATATACAGTATAGGCTAATTATAAAACCATATGAAATACTAATGTTTATATCAACTGTTTTTTTGCAATTGTAAGAAGTGAATATTCAACTAGTTAATCATGCATGTAGTTACTGTAGTGTATAACCAACACATTTCATCTCACATTTCCTTGCATTGCAGTTAAGAGGGATTGATTAAAATCACATAACCAGATCATGAAGAGAGTAGACCTTAAGAACATATGACATTATTCATCACAGAAAGCAAGGAAACATTTGATATATTACATACTGCATGCTCACACAAGGACAAGCCTACTTGGTTACCTTCCCATGATGCAATATAAAGACAGTGTCTCACTCTCTTTTGCACTGGGGCTTTCTCTGTGTTCATGAACGCTCTCTGCTCGCTAGTTCGCTTCCAACACACACACACACACACACACACACACACACACACACACACACACACACACACACACACACACACACACACACACACACACACACACACACACACACACACACACACACACACACACACACACACACACACACACACACAAGATTCTGGCTACTTAGGCTTGTAAGCTGTGCACAAAGTGAGTGGGGGTCCAGCGAACGATTATCACAAGAAGCAGGCTGGTGGTCTTATCACCCACTGTCAGCCTCTGCTCCTTCTGCTAGCTCCAGCAAGAGCCATAAAGCTGCCATTGTCTCTCAGACACACACATACACACGTGCAGCTGAGGAAAAAACAGTCATTTCAATAAACTTAGGCCCCTGAGCTGTCTGCCTTTGATGGGAGCTCTTATGTGTTTGGATTTGTGTGTGTAACTTTACTTTCGTTTGCAACGTATCTTCATGTATAAATTTGTGAAGTGTTTTAAAAGAAAGAAGAAACAAAACAGTGTTTTTGGTGTGCAAACACTGGATCATTCTATGAAACACTGCCTTTTTTAGGTTGTACATTTCTGTAAGATATTAAACAATCTGTCAGACAAACATGTGTTCAGAAATTAAAAAAACTTAACTGTGCCAACTTAAGTTTAAAAAGGGATAGTTCACCCAAAAATTCTGTCATCATTTACTCACCCTCATATTGTTCCAAACCTGTATGACTTTCTTATTTTGAAGATATTTTGTTGGTAACATAGCAAAAAATAAGTAAAGGTTTGGGGAAATGATAACAATAAATGATGACAAATTTCATTTTGAGTGATCTATCCCTTTAATTAAGAGATTTTGATATATGTCACAATATACAGTAAATATGCCCATTACATTACCTTATGCTGGAAGGTACTTCTTAAAAGTAGAATTTAATATTGATATTTACATATTTACACAAATGCACTTTGTAGTTATCACAAGGTTGAAGGTAATAGGGTTGACATTTTAAGAGAAACCCCTACTGACAAAAGTAACAAAACGTAAGATAAAATAAAAAAAGGAGACTTGAAATTGTCTTAAAAGGATTCTTGTCAGGAAACTTGTCATTATGACAGATTTTTTGATTTATGCAATAGTTTATTACTCAGAAATGGGGAAAATATGACAGTAATAAAGTTGAAGCACAACCTGGGTGCATAACTTTTTAATAATACATGTCTAGAAAAAAAAAAAAAAACAGAGAGAGAGAATAAAGCCAAATGATAGATTGATTTCCAAAATGTGACACTTATGTATATAACAGCAAGGAGAAGTTAAAATCGCATAACTTTGACTAAAGGAAAAGGAAGGGAAAAAAATCCTGAATTTATATCAAAAACTTATTTTGTATTTATAAAAAGATTTATATTGTTGCAGCATAGTAAAAGTTGGCATCCACTATTATAAAATTATTTTCACATAGGTATATACAGTAAGCAGTCCTTTTGAAGAATGACCCTGCTAATGATTTTGTTCAGTGCATGCAAGAACGGTAGAAATGCAGAAGGTTAGAGAGAGAGAGATGGTGAGAAAAAAAATGTGTGTGTGCATTTGTAAGACAGAGTCGATATAATAAGCAGCTTATGACCTGCCTTTCAGGAAGGCCTGTTAAAGCCTGTCTCTCTCAACCTCTCTGCACCATCAGCTGGAGATTAACTCACCCAAGCAAGATTTAATAATGTCTATTGATAAAACGTCAACATATGCCTCTGCCATTAAAAGAAGGCAGCACCTGCTTGCTATTCCACTTGCTGATGAACCATCTGACATTTTGAGAGGCTAGTGTAAGATTTATCACATAAGGATTGTAGCTAGACAGAAAAAAAAAAAAACTTATGACACTTAGAGGTCATAAACAACTACTTCTAGGCTCATCCAGGTGGCCCACCTGGGCCGATTAATTCGGCTGTCTGTAATCTCTGAAGACCCAGCCTTTCTCTGTGACTGAGAATTTAAAAAGCCAATAACCGTGAGTTTGAATGATGGGCTAAATCTTATCATTTTTAATTTTGCAGTGATAAACCTAGAAATATGCTTCAGGAAAGTGTAATGCGGTGTCTTTAATAATTAACTCCTGTAGTGTTACATACACAAAAGAACATTTCTGAAGAAAGCGCCTGAGGTTTCTCAAATAGACTGTGTACACAAATGTATTAATGGCATTTTCATAAGTTAGACGTTCTTAAAAATGACATTTGAAATGGATTGATTCAGCAATTGTACAAATGGTGAGATAACACAGGAGCTGGTTAATAAGGGCAAGAGTTTTTCGGCTTTTAGAGGTCTTTTCAATAATGATATGCTGAGATATAGTTATGGGAATAGGCAGATTTCTTTCTCTTCTCTCAGCAGAAGTACACCATGAAGAAATACTAATCCTTTAAAAAATTCTCATTTTATTCAATATGCGATGAATAGCAAAAACACACTACCTTGGCAAATACAATCGATGTGCAGAAAATCTGCAGGTAATATCTGGCAAATATGCAGAAAACAACAACAACAACAATATAACTTCCAGTAAAGCAGTTTTGAATCACAGTCAAAGGCGCTATGCAAAAAAACATGACCATAAAACACAATATTTATAAGTGCTTTTTATGCAACAATTATACGATAATACGTACCACAATTTCATAATATATTCTTGGGAATATTCCTTAAACATTAAGGTCGAAGACAGCATAATACAGTTTTTTTTAAACCAAGCATCTGCAGAAGAAAATCAACGTCTGCTTCTACATAATTGCCTTTTTATCCCCGCCCACCAATTTGCACATTATGTACAGTAGTAGTAAAACACTAAAGAGACGCAAACACAATTTTACTCCAGCAACAAACGATAGAAATGTTTCTGAGGATTACAAAACATTTTTAAGGGCCAAGTAGTGGAAAAACGCAGTCTTTACATTGTGATCCTAACATTAAGTTTGGATGAACTTTATATTTCAAAGAAGTTTCAGTGTTCATTTGTTCACTTCATTTTACTGCAGATTTGTCTTTAAACAAGACAGTTCGGTGCAGGCTTTTCAGAGAGACTGAAAATAAAAGATGATGTCATGACGAATGTCGCAACACACAAGTGTGAGCAACAGTGTTTTTACCTGTGTAACAGATTGTTTGATATATTTATACTGTAGTGCAGCAGTCAAACTGTGGATATTTGTGAAAGTTGTGATTTCCCTATCTTTTCTTTGCTTCGGCATTTAGGGGGTTAATGCGGGGGTCCCGGATATGGAAAAAAAGCATGTAGAAAACACTGCTTTTGTTAATGTTTTCATCTAGGCTATGTGCTGTAATCCTGAATAAAAGCTTCAGTGAGCGATCTTCTGTTTTGTCATCAGTAAGACATTACAACACAGTTCATTTTAATTAAAACACAACCCTGCAAATGATAATGTATGTTTTTCACTTTAACGAAAAGGATAAATGATGAATAGCATTTAAGAACAAAAGTGCGACAGAAGTCGGTACTTTCATTTATAATTATTTTTACAGTACATGAAACATCGCAAGTGATCCTCTCAACAATAACTGTGGTAACTCAAAGAACTTAAATACTTTATTTGCCACAACCAAGACTTAGCTATAAAGCATAGGTGATACATATAAATGTTTCACATTGTTGGCAAATGTTTCAACTATGTAATGAGGTATTTTTCAACATAGGAAGTTCAACAATACCACAAATTATTTTAATATGCAAAATGGTTACCCAAACATAGCAGAGGGTGTTTACTTCCAAGTCTTGAATGCGGCATGTATATTAAAACATGTAAGGATAGAAAAATAGCCTATTACTTTGCATCAGGGGAATAAATTACATTTTCAAATATATTCAAAAAGAAAAGTTATTTTAAATTGTAATTTCACAATATTACATTTCTTACTGTATTTTTAATCAAATAAATGCAGCCTTGGTGGACATTTCAATAACATTAAAAATTACCTCCAAAC